TATAACCAAATGCAATAAATACAATTATGTATTTCATTTTCAGTGTATTAAGTATGTTGCTACTTGTTTTATTCACATATATTTGGTTCCCCCAGTGTGTTTGAAAACATCAAATGACTGTAAATACATAACAGGTAACTCCGTACTTATTGTCTCTTTTGCTTTTCAAAAGTTTTTCTTGGAGATACATAAAAACATTGTTAACTGCCTCAGTTTTAGTACCCATGCTGAAATGGAATTTCTTTTTAAAACTAAGCTAAAACAATACGTTATATATATTTTGAAAACAATGGCATTTATAGCATTGAAAAGTTGGAGAACTTATTCCATAAAGCAGGGAAATAGAAATCACTCAGAGACTTTCCTTCACATGCTTCCCCCACCCTTCACGGGCAGAATATGTTTAACTGTATCATCTCAAACTTCTTCTGTGCAAAAAATCAGAGCTACATTACATAAGAATGTTAAAATCAGAAGTGACTATTCATAAAAGCAATTGCACACCTTGAAAAGAAGTCATTAAATAACTTCATTGTTGACTCATTCATAATTTTATCACGTCTAGTTTATCCTCTAATTTTAAAAGAACCTAGCAAAACATACTACATAAACTGTATTAGTGCAGATAATTAGAAGGTATAAGGTTGGTATAGTTTCCTTAAGAATAGAATTTAAAATCTCCCCAAAATGTTCTTAAAATTGATACACAAAAAAGGATATGAGGACTGGAGAGATGGCTCAGCAGTTGAGAGCACTGGCTGCTCTTGCAGAGGACGTGGATTTGGTTCCCAGCACCCACATGGTGGTTAACAACCATTTATAACTCCAGTTCCAGGGGATCTGATGCCCTCTTATGACCTCTGTGAGCATTGCACACATGTGGTGCACTTACATGCAGGCAATGCACTCATACACACAAAAAAATAAAAATAATTTGTAAAAGGATGTGAAGTCAAAGGGTGACTGCTAGGGATGTGGAAGGGAAGATAAGAAAGAGTAACAGACAGTCAATATGATCAAAGTGCATTATATGCATGTATGGAAATATGAAACTCCTTGTTCTTAATGCTTCATATATGCTAATAAATACTGAAAATCAAACTTTTTATTTTGTGGAGTGGTCATAATAAATCACTATGAAATTTAGCCAGGCAGAGAAAGGAGAGAGGAAAGTTAACAAAAAGATATGGAAAGTGTTAAGATTAGTAGCTTAAAAGAGGAAGGATTGTATTTGCAGTTCTTTAGGGAACATACTAGAAATACATTAATTTGTACTTTGAAAGTGACTGACATCACCTACAATTAGGGCAGAAGCAATGTTCAGATGCCTGGGTTTCAATCCTGGTACTAGGCATTTGGCAGCTGTGTTTCCTTGGGCACATTATGTAACATATCTTAGTTTCCTCGTATGATAAAATGAGTTTAATGATAGTATTTTTCTCATAAGCATAAGGATTTACTGATTTAGCACTTATAATACTCTTGGAAAGTACATGGCATAGAGTAAGGGGTACATTTGCTGTTATGATTGTCATATCATTTTTTTATGATCCAGGCCTATGTAAATTTGTGGTTTTCATTTATTCAGAGTTTATTAAACAACTGTCTCTTGTCAGAGGTTTTACTAGGTATCATTTTAAAACTTTTGAATGATTATCATTGGTTATTTCATACTTTGGGAAATTCAAGTTGAATAAAAATACTTGTCTACAGCACTATCAGAATGTTATCCTTGAAGTCTTTACCATGAGTTCTCCTTGCTAAAGTAAAGTGATGTTTAGTAAGAATAAAGACCCTGAAAGAAATAGGACAGACCAAAGAAGTGCATACTAGGTTCTATAAACTACACGTGTATTGTTGCAGAAGAAAATGTGCAGGACTAGGTTCAACTGTAGAGCATGAAGCATAATCTTCCCATATTGCTGGGGCATGGTAGTATTCAAATGAGTGGTGGTGTGATTTAGGAGATAGTAAAGGTAAGTTAGCTTGTGATAGTCCACCATGAAACAGTAGGTCGATCTTTTGATAGTAAGGTTAAATAGGGGCTGCCATCTTGTAAGAGACTAGTAACAGATAAACTCATGGATATTAGAGAATAAGACAGAAATCAGTTACTGAAAATGAAGGAAAATTGTGGGAATAATGATCCTCTTTGCAAAGAATTATACTCTTAATACCCAAGACTCCTAAGAGAGCAAACAAAGGGTATTCTTTATTATTAATATAAAGTACTTTAAGTTCACATTATCCTCTGGACAGTTCTCAGAGGCAGTTTCACCTTCTGGCTCAAAACACACAATTTCTTCATCCACACAAATGCCAACCATAACGTTGCATATGAGTGCGTGTGTTTTGTATACTGTAGCTGAAAATCAGTATAAGTTTGAGCAGACATGGGGAAGAAAAACAATGTGATGTGAACTTTGTTCTCTGTGTTTAGGCAAGCTACGACCTATATCTATGCCAGTGGAATATAATTGGGTGGGGGACTATGAAGATCCAAATAAGATGAAGAGAGATAGTAGAAGAGGTAAGTGTTCTAGAACTTCAGTGTAGGCTGGGTTGTTTGAACAATACTCAAATTTAAATGTTCTTTAAGTAGATGATTATGGCTTCAGCAGAAAACTTCTGTCAGTAACTGACTATTCAACAAAATACAGTCAGATCAACATTTGACTCTCTTGACCCATTACTAAATAGCTATCTTTTGAATGTCTTCTGAGACACCAAGGGCAGATAATTACATAGAGAAAGGTAAATATATGTTTGTAAATTGAAAGTTAATATTTTGAAAACAAGGTCAGAAGTGTGAAACTGCATAAAAGAATTCAGTTCAGTAAATAGAAACAGTTTCTCATCGGTCCCCATTAATTTACAACGCAATTCACCACTTTTGTATTGATGAAACCTCAGAATGAGCATTGAAGCACGTAGTTTTAAAAAATGTCTAATGGAATCTGAGCCAGTGACTTTAATGAAAATTGTATACAGATTTTTTTTAAACCTGCCTTCCTTTTTTCTGTTCTGTTTGCTGTTCGGGGTTATCTTCTTACCTGGGGTGGGCAATTTTTGAAGTATCTACCAAAAGTAAGTTTTTATGTTCCCTTATCCTGCTATTGAGGTGAGCAGTAAAGAGTCAAAGCCTCACTGCTAAGTAGGGTTTGACCAACTGTGGACATGAAGGGTTCAACTGGTGATGCTGCTGCTTGCAATTTGTGAAATACAGAGCCATAAGTTTGGAGATAGACAACAAAACCAAAACTGTTCCTAAAAATTATGCTTAAGCTTCATTTACTGTATGATTAACCTGTTTGCTTATTATTTCTATCCAATGAACTGTGCAAATTCACAGACCAAATGGACAACACATATAAGTATCTGCTTCATTACTCTTCTTAACACTTGTTTGGGGAGTGAGCATTTCAGAAAATGTTGAGTAGTTCAGGAACATGACAGATTTCTTTACATATATATATATATATATTTCATTTTCCAAAATTCAGTTTTCTATACTTGTTTGTTTTATAGACTAAATCAAGAAAACATTTTTAAAGAAAATGCTTAATATATGCCATCTCTGTTATTCTTTGGGGACTTCATATAATAGTGGCATCTTGGAGAAAATTTTTATGTGAATTGCTAAGTGCTATCTATTAATTTGTGTTGATTTTTTTGTTTTGGTTTTTGTTTTGTTCTGTTGTTTTCTTGTTGTTGTTGAAGTTTCCTATCAGTTCATAATGTGAGCTTTAACTTCAATGGTGTTTCTGAAAATGCTAGAGGCTATTGTTTGTCATCAAGTTTTAAGATAATCTTCCTAGGGAGCTTATTACAAATTTTGAGATCCACACATACATATTTAAGATTTAAGTCCTGCAGGTAACTTTTATATAAATAGTCCTGAGGTAAAACCAGGAGAAATAAACTAAAAGCTATTTCTTACTGTCCTTTGATCACAAATATTTAATTCCTACTGTATTTACACTACATATTTTATTAGTTAAAGTTCTGAAATGAAATCTTATAGCATAAATGGGAAAGTGGTAAATTGCAGATATTTGCATATTTATATTGGTGTATTTTTCTTTTTATGTAGAAAACTCTCTACTTCGATATATGAGCAATGAAAAAATTGCTCAAGAAGAATACATGTTTCAGAGAAACAGCAAAAAAGACACAGGGAAGAAGTCCAAAAAGAAGGGTGATAAGAGTAATAGCCCAACTCACTACTCGCTGCTGCCTAGTTTGCAAATGGATGCACTGAGACAAGACATAATGGGCACACCGGTGCCAGAAACCACACTCTACCATGTAAGTAAATGTTCAATACCTCTTTGCTACAGTCTTTCTTGGAAGGAAGATTACTTTTATTGATAATTTAAGATTTTTTTTCCTATTGCAGTGTTTTTTTAACAGAAGATCTTAACATTAAAATGCTTTCCTTCAGTGTGAATTCATCCACTGAAGCTTTGTCAGCCTATCTAGCATTACTCCCTTAAAGAAGGTGTACTCTCCCTCACTCAGCAGTGGTCTGCTACCAGTAGTTCCTTGGCTAAAGTTGAGGGGGCCCATTTCCCCAATTCTATGCTGGGTTTTTGTCTAGGTTGAGATTGAGTGGATGAATTCACACCAAGGGATATTTGGGTACACAAACTTGACACCATAGGCCTTAACATATATGACAGAATGCATGAAATCCAGTGAGGATTGTGGGGCTGCAGTTATAGGAGGGGGTTCTAAATATGATTAGCATGCATTGTATAAAATGCACAACAATTTGATAAAAATAATGTATTGATATTTTTTCCTTAAAATGATGGATGATTATTTTTTCAGCTCAGGTGTTCAATAAATTCTTACATTGTAGAAACCTGTATTTTAATGAAACAGTTTTATAGGTACAATATTGATAGAGATGATAATTAGGTCAGTATGTTAATACATAGTGCCTAGGCAGCTCTAAAATCATCATTTAAGATAGAATGTTCAAAATTTCATGGTTCCACATAAAAGCAAGTATCTGTGTTAGTAAAATGGGAATACAAAGTTTGTCATTAGGACTGGGGAGATGATTTAGTCAGTAAAGTTTTTACTATACAAGCATAAAGACCTAAGTTCCAATTCACAGCATCCAGGCTGGGCATTAGGGTATAGTGCCTTCCTATAATCCTAGTGCTAAATAAACAGAGACAGGAAGATACACAGAGCTCACTGGCCAGCTGGCTTATCTGAATCGATTACTGCATGTTCAGTGAGATACCTTGTCTCAAAAAATAAAATAAAATAAAAATAAGGTGGAGGGTGATAGGAAGGCATCTGATGTCAATATCAGGCCTCCAAATGCACACAAATACAAGTGCATGAGTACATGTGTACACACATGCACATCCACACAAACTTGTATGCATGTGCATGCACGTACACAAAAGCATACCATTATATGAGGAAAAGATATTCTGAGATTTCCAGTTTAACTAATGTAATGAGCTCAAAACGTGTAGAAATAACAGAGTAAAGTGCCTTACTCCAGGGGAAATAAGGAAAAGCTTCATAATGGACATCATTTGACAGTTGACTCAAGAGTGAAAAATGAGTAGTGCTGTTTTAATGAGAAGGTATAGGTAGGATGACCAGGAATGTGCAAGAGTATGACATGTTCCAGGGATTTCACCAAGCTGAGAATTACTGTTCTATTTTAAAAATGTACAATGTTTTATGAGAAAGGGTCAGTACATAGGCCTGAAAATGTATTCAGGTTTAGATCAGAAATTTTATAATGGAATTTTGAGACTCCTATGGAATTAAAAAATGTACTGATGAATTTTGAGCTGAAGATTTGCTTGATCAGACTCGTGTGCTGTATTTTTCTAGTGAAAGATCATCAGCTGAGAGGCCAAAGGCAGGAACATTAAATGCATCCCAGATGGATGATAAAAAACTAGAACAATGACCATGTGGGAGCTGGAAATCTTATTAGCCATAGCATTCCCTTAAAATATCAACATGTTTTATGCCACTTTGACTAAAGAGAGTTTGTTGTGACAATAAAGCTGTAGCTTCTCATTAAGAGCCATTAAAAAATAGACTACAAGGGTTTAAGGAGATGGATCAATCAGTAAAGTACATGCCACCAGGCATGGGAACCTGAGTTCAGATCCGTATCACTTTTACCCATGCAAAAAGTCAGGCATAGTAATGCATGCCTGTAACCCCAGTGCTGAGGAGGGCTGGAGTCAGGAGGATCCCTCTGTCTTTCTAGGCAATTAGTCTAGCCTATTTGGTGAATTCCAGATTCAGTGAGAGACTATGCTTCAAAAAATATGAGAGTGAAAGAGGAAGATACCTAATTTCAGCATCTGGCCGGCCTCCACAGATGCGTGTGTGTGTGTGTGCGCACGCGCACGTGCACACACACACACACACACACACACACACACACACACATGAACATATACACACCAAAAGAGACTACAAGATTTTTAATTAGTAGTTGGAACAGTGGAACAACTTATTGTTCAAAGTATCAAAACTTTAATCCACCATATTGTTGAAGGTATACCAACTAAGTGTGTGAAAATAATGCCTAGGCACTATTTGACAATTTCAAGAACTTTATGCTTGAGCTATTTCTCTAAGCTAATCTCATAAATTATCTTTTATTCTCTCATAAAACTTGATTAGAAAAAGGTTTTTATATGGGTTGTTTTGGTAGGTTCAGTGTGTGATTCTCTATTCTCCCTTTTCCCCAGTTCCATACTCCCATGTCTTTTCCTCTAAAAGACACTAATATCACCATCAAAACCCAGATGACTGACAAATCATACTATTCTTTTCCACCAACATCTGAAGGGAACCTGAAAACATTATTCTTTGATACCTGTGAAGAGGGTCACTTCTATTTATCATCACTACTCAGAAGAGCCCCTAATCACAGAACTTCCTCTAGAGTCTGGTTCCAATCATAAATAATATCTTGAACAAACATCTCAGAATGAGAGATCTCAAGATGAGAGAGGCAACCTGGTAGTTAAAGATGATGCTGGAGAGAGAACAAGAGGCCACTTTGATTCAGAGTGGATCGACTATTAGAGAGGTTGGATTTAGCTTAAGAGTGTGAGTCATCAAACGTGCATTTATATACACATCCTGTTCTGTTCAGTCACGTGTATCCAGACAGGTGCATACTGAAGAAAGAAAATAGAAAAATGAGTCTTGGATTGTGAATTATTAAAGAGAGACAATAAAACTAAGTCAACTTGATAAGATCATTGTGAATGTTGCCTCTGAATACAATTGTTACCACCTTTCCAAAGAGTATACATTATTTAATGAGGAATATCAAGAATCTCGTTGAGTAACTTCATTTCTTCAGGTTTATTTTTTTTAAAGAAATAAGAACTTTTGCGATTTTCATACAATATAGTTTGATGGCATTTGGACCTGCTCCTCCTGCCCCCTAGTCCCTGTCCAATTTAATATGCATGTATGAAAATATAATGAATCATATTAAATATAATTGTCACATGCTAATAAAACTTTTTTAAAATGCTTAGAATATTGGGCTGGAGAGATGGCTCAATGATTAAGAGCACTGGTTGCTCTTTCAGAGGACCTGAGTTCAATTCCCAGCACCCACATGGCAGCTAACAACCATCTGTAACTCCAGTTCCAGGGGAATTGGACACCCTCTTCTGACCTCCACAGGCACTGCACGACAGGAGTGCACTCACATACATGCAAACAACACATTCATACACATAAAATAAAAATAATAAAATATTCTTAAATGCTTAAAATATTAAAAAATAGATTCCCATCGATTCTTACAATGCTGGTTTTGAAAATTTAAAAAAGAAAATATATAGAGAAGCAGGCATGGTGGTGGTGCACACCTATAGTCCCAACACTCAGAAGGCAGAGACAAGCATATTTACGTGAGTTCGAGGCAAGCCTGGTCTACATAGCAAGTTCCAGGTTAGCACAGGCTATAGAGTGAAAGTCTGTTTCAAAAAACAAAGGAAAGAGAAAGAAGAAAAATCAGAGCATATGCTTTTGCCTTTGTCTCTTATTGTATTAGTCAGGGTTCTCCAAAGAAATAGAACTGGTAGAATGAATACATACATATTCAAACATATATAGGGATTAATCAGATAAGTTTACAGGATAGAGTCTGAGTAGTACCACAATGGGTGCACCACACTGGAGAGGCTGAGAACCCAGTGGTTGCTCAATCCATGAGGCTGGATGTTTCAGTAGTCCCAGTCTAGTGCTGAAGCCCTGACAAATGCCAAGAGATCTGCTAGTCTTCTGTCTACATTGGAATCCGAAAAAGTTGGTCACAGCAGCAAGACGAACTCACCAGTGAGAGGGAAGGCAAGGGGCAAAAAAACAAGAGCTCTCTTCTGCCATGGCCTTTATATGGACTGCCATCAGAAGGTCACGCCCACATTTAGGGTGGGTCTTCCAGCTTCAGATGATCCAATCAAGAAGGGGTCTCTCTCTCTCTCTCTCTCTCTCTCTCTCTCTCTCTCTCTCTCTCTTCACTTAATCCCAGATCCAGTCAAGGAGACACACAGGAATCCCAGATCCAGTCAAGTTGACACACGGGATTAGCTTGTATTACATGTCCTCAGTCTACACCATCGTGTTTTCTAGATACATGGCATCTTTCCAAACTAATTTTTGACGAGGTATAAGAACAGCATAAAGGATAGTGTTAACCTTGTGAGAGATCTCTGTTTGCAATACTAATCCACCAGTTCAGCATAAAAAATGGATATTTCCTAATTCTGTCCTCAGGTTTAAAAGAAGTGAAATAATTGTTACCCACCAAGTTTATACTGGGTACCTATAACTAATGTTCAAAAAATAAACTTCATTATTTATTTAGCAAGACTGGTATGTTCCTTTGAGGACATCATCTTGCACATACTTAGTACTTTCGTTCATTACCAAGGAAATTGCCACATTTGTTATCTCTTGTGAGCCATATATAAACTACATTTGTAAATGACAAGACTCATGTTCAAAAAAGTTAAAAGATTTAGCCAGAGCTGTGTTGTGAAGAAGTGTAAGTGCTGCTGTCAAGACCAGAACCCAAATCACCTACTCTAGGAGTGTCTTCAGTCTACCTAAGTGCCTTGTGCATGGTGGAATTCCATACATAATGGAAGGACATTGTGCTGTAATGAATAAATATCTATACTTTTTAAAAGTTTGATTTGACGAAATATGCCTTCATACATTGTTGTTAAAAGCATTTTCAGTATCTACAATGATTTTGATTCAAATTCCTAATGTTACTATTTTTA